TTCACCAGAAAGAACGTTTTTGAAACAAACCCTAACTAAATCTCTCAACTGTCAGGAGGAGAGATGTGTTTTTAAAGCTGTTGAACCCAGAAGCTGCTCATTAGACACAACATCATGTGACAGTGTTCTAACCTACAGAGATGTCTGCTCAGATCCACACACAGGTGATGAGAAAGGCAAGCTCCTCTCACCATCTCTGTCTTTTTTCTCCTTCTTCATCCATTCTAAAACACTGGTTTTCCATTTGTTCATTTTCCCAGGAAATTCTTGCACGATGGACCTATGCACGTGCACGAGCCCAGGCCTGTGCATGCATTAGCACATGTGCGTGTGTCTCCCCAAGTCCCAGAACAGTATTATTGTAAACATATCATTTGATGAGGCGAGTGGTTCAGGTTGCTGGCCGGCTGCCCTGCTTTCATTTGGAACTGAGCTGCCAACATCTGGCCTGTGTCAACACTCACTGACAGCATGTGTGTGTGTGTGTGTGTGTGTGTGTGTGTGTGTGTGTGTGTGTGTGTGTGTGTGTGTGTGTGTGTGTGTGTGTGTGTGTGCCTCACAACCAGAGCTGTCAGCCGCTGAATGGAGAACAGATCTGCTGAGATTAATCAAACATATAGCAATAATAAAAGGAGCCCTGTGCCTCCGAGCAGCCATTTTAAGAGCCTTGGGGAGCGGAGCCGCATCCTCCAGGATGCCATGTGTGGTCATGTAGACAGGCATGCAGGCCAGATGGGATTTTACATGGAAACAGTCACAACCCAATGTAAAAATACCAACAATTAAAAGGTGAAAATAATCTCTCTTCTGTGAGTTGACAAACAGTGAGACGGTGTTTGGATCTATTGCCACGCATGGATTTTTAAAAAGTATTCATAGCATCAGATCAATAAAGTCCTTCCACTGGTGCTACAGAATAAATAATACATAAAACAAACCCTCACAGTGCCTATAGTGGGATGCATTCAACTGTATATTTAGCATATTTCAACTTTGTTTGCTCTTTAGAAGAAAGACAACAGTAAAGATTTATCTAATCTTATTTTTAATCATAATTTTGCATCTTTTTTCATAAAAACACAAGAACTTCAGATGATGAGGATTTATATTTGAAGGATCTAACACCCAATCAGAGCAGATTATTGTGTTTTCTTTTCACCTGTATGTTATTCTCTGCTTCCTCATCAGTATTGCAAACACATGAATGAGTAGCAAAGCTGTTAAAATAAAAAAAGTCTTCAACATGCAGACAGGAGACACATTCATTCCTCATTCTCCATGAACTGTAAATAAAAGGGAGTTATTTTTTGCAGCATCTCTATTCGCATCATGTCGGGCCCTCTGTTCTGTGCTCCTGTGTGTGTCAGTGGCTGCTCTGGAGCATCTCTCCATGTGAGGATGAACCATCACCTGCTGCGCAGCGTGCCTGTATCACGTTTCTGGAAGAACCACAGAGGAAACAACTGTGAGCTTAATTTAGTTTAATAAAAGCTTTTGTGTCATTTATTTCACGTTTGTGAAAAAGCATTTTTTAAAATAATTTTGTGTATTTTATTTATTTTTTGCACCTCATTTTAATTATTTGATGTTCCTTTTGATAAAAATTGAGCCATTTTGTGTCTTTTGTTCATTCTTTAAGTGTTTCTGTGACACTTTAGAGTATTTTAATGTCACACATCGACAGTTTTAGGACTTTGTGGTTATTTAACATCCTTTCATTCCCCATTTCTGCCCTTGTTTTTATTGTTTGTTTTCAATGACGTATTTTATTACAATGCTGGGATGAGAATCAAGGGAACTCTTCCTCTTCTGAGGCCCCTGGGCCCGAATCTTCTTATGGTGGAACTGAAGAGAAATATAAAAACAGAGCTTTTCTAACTTGAGCTGCCCAAGTTACAATGACCTAATTGATGGTGGGGTGGGGGGAATCAAACCACGGTAGAAAGAAACACACACACACACACACACACACACACACACACACACACACACACACACACACACACACACACACACACACACACACACGCCCATGCACACATGCACGGAAATCACTACAAGCAAAGTTTGATCAGCTGAAGTTGGTGAAATTTTATATCTCAGTTGTGCATCTTTGTTTCAGTTTATCATCTCACATCTAAATAATTGCGCCAAACTCAGACTTTACTGGATCGTATTTCATTCCCACTCTGAAATCTGAGATTTTAATCATGATAGTATATTTCCAAACAACTCAACCAGAAACTTCCCTCCACCAAGCAGTCTGATCTATTTGTTCGAATGGGCCATCTGATCCAAATCCTCATTGGACCTTAGATGTTGGGGCATAGCTAGAGCTGGTGTGATTCCTCAGCTCTAGTTAAAGCTGAGCTCAGATGTATTTGGGTTGTCTGGCTGAGGGATGGAGCCTGTTTGCCTACCGGGGCTGAAAACTCTGCAGGGGGCCTTGCCTGATCTGCTGCACCATCCGACAGCTTAATTAGTGTTTCACTGCTGCACTCATACGCAGTCTGCACGCACACACGCACACACACACACACACACACACACACACACACGGTTTCTCTTTTCCACACACAGGAGTATAGCTCGTTAGTCTAATAAAGAGCCATTAGAAGGTTAAATGTGGGTCTCATTAAACATTAGTCATTTACTACCATGCATAATAAGACTCTCTGGTGTCATTATGATAACTGCTCATATGGCTGTGAAAGTGAAGAGTCAACTCATGCAATGTTAATTTGCCATGCCACGGTCTGGGACTTGTCCCGTCTCCTCCTGAGAGAATGAACACCATGAGAATTGGGTAAGGCCACTTCCCGCCAAAAGAGTCTAAAAGCCTAAAAATCATTACAGGAGGGGATCTTGTGTCGTCGGTGTGTTCTGCAAACAAAATCTGGATGAAAATCTGATATTGTTAAAGTGCAAGAGGCGTAACCAATCTTTCTCGATCTAAACGGAGCTTTTGTTTTAACTCTAACGACGTTACAGTTTTGGTTACAGCCACATAGAAAACAGATGAGCCGTGACGGTGGAAAGCACTTATAAAGAGAGCATTAAAACATTGAAGCTGCCAACTCTTTGACTTAGCGGATAAAGCCTCTGGGAAAGTTGGGCGTAGGGACGATAGAGGCAAGGCGTTGTGAGAATGTCAAACAGCAGGCGGCTGTGCAGTGTGACAACACAGATGAGCTGTTTGAAGCCTTGTTTAGGAGCAACAGCCCACCGCTAACCTGCAGAAACAAAGTGTTGGCAAAAAGATTCACATCAGCACGAAAGCTGATGGTGAAACTGCTAAACTGATTGACAAAATTCCCTTTCAGTCAGGTCCATAACTGCACATCGGGTAGGTTTTACATATTATTGTCCACAGGGTGACGATGAGCGTGGGTAAAGCTCCGTGCTACGTGTTTTAAAATGAATTCCTCTCTATACTTCCTGCATGTTTTCAGCAAATGTAAAACCTACAAAACAGATCACTTGTGGACAGGTCTGTCTGGTTGCTTTATTAATTGGATGTAGCGGTTTTGAAGATGTAGTGCTTTCCCCCACCGTGCCCAGATTGTTAAGGCAGATTGGTCAGACTATTATTTTTATTGCTGACAGGCTGCAGCGGAGTTAAATCTGCGTACATGAGAAAACGTCCCAGGATTCATCGAGCGAAACATCTGTTTAAAAAATAGGAATGAAACCAGTCCCTTAATTGGAAAAAGTGTTTCTGTACTGTGTGCTCTGCACTTTGATGTTAGGAGTCATAAAATATGCAGTAATTTAATATTAGTTCCCTTTTGGCAGCTCATTTATCTCCATACCTGACAATTTAACACACCCATAACTACTTGGAGTTTTAAGTGTCATTTTGGAGGAAATGTGTCTTTTTCTTTCCATCTTTATAGTCTTTATTAAAATAAAGTTCTTGTCAGTTGTTTTTCATTTAAAAATGGTTCATTTGGATGTTCTGTCATGTCCTCCTGAGTTGTTTATGATGTTTTCATCGTGTAATGTTTTATGACAGCTTGTGTAATGATTGTGGTGATGTTCAGCTGCATATAGCTTTAACGTGTGTGAGTGTGTGTGTGTGTGTGTGTGTGTGTGTGTGTGTGTGTGTGTGTGTGTGTGTGTAATCAGCTTGTCTTGAATGACACACCACAGTTACAAACTTGCTAATTTACTGCCTCCAGAACATATGTCACTTTTTTCCTGCTCTGATGTTCATCAACACACAACAACATATATCACACCAGAGCTCCTTCACATCTGCCCAGATGTGCAGCTGTCAGAGAAACTTTGTATCCAGACGAGTTTCGCTCACGATCGCTCAACCCTAACCCGATTCCCATACAGATCACTTTTTGTGTTTATGATGAAAAAATGTTTTTGCTGTTGCAATCCAGTAAGTCAATAAACTTAAACCTCATTTTATCCCAAATCTTCCGATCCCAGTGGTGGATGTTGTGATGTGTCCGTGTGCTTGGCTGCAGATATTTCCCCCTGAAGAAAAACAAGAAACAAAATATCTGCAACTTTGACAACAAAAGAAAGAAAGAGAAAAATACACACATCTGATCACTTTAATCTACAAGAACAGGAAAAAAATCTGTTCCCTGTTAACACTTTCAGGTCATTATTTCAATCACAAAATGGATTTTTCACATTAAACAACCATGCATGTCACAGTCGCTATCATATATTGTCAGAACCTGCAAAGGTTTTATTTTTATTGTGCAGTGTCTGTCTAAGTGTGTGTGCACAGCATGAAAACTCGCTTTGGCCTTGTGCCATGCAGCTGGAAGCCATCATAGAACCAATTACTTTCTGTCTTCTGCTCTCTCTCTCTCTCTCCCTCTTCCTTCTTTTTCTTTAGTCGTTCACTTGATCTCTCTCCTCCCTCTGCTTTCATTCTCTCTCTCTGTCTGATTTTAATTTTTCAGGTCTGTCTCTTACTAAACCGAGAACTCGATTTACTGTTAACCCCTTCACCTACACCATCAAACTCACTTCATCCACGGCGCTCTCTCAGACTATCTCCAACATCATCTCCTCCTATCTCCAAGTTTATCTCGAGGGCTTTTAATTTAAACATCTTTTTTCATCCTACGGTATTAATCATACACTTTAAACTTGAGAAAAGGGCAGAAGGAGAACAAACTCTGATCTCAGACTGTAAACCAAATGAACATGTCACCATGGTGAGGGATGGAGGAAGTGAGAGAGTTAACAGTGTAAACAAATGAGGAGGATAATGAGGATGAAGTACTGCTCAGAACAAGTACGCCTTTGTTTCTACTCATACCTGCTGCTCCTTCCAGCCCTCTTGTTGTTGCACACACACACACACACACACACACACACACACACACACACACACACACACACACACACACATGCGCACTCACGTACGCGCGCACACGCACGCACACACACACACACACACACACACACACACACACACAAACACACACACACTCACACTGTGGTGCATAAATTGTGTTCTGGGCTTCTGGAATCTGCACTTTATTGAATGTTGGGAACTTTATTAATCTAATGGGAGATCAAAGAGGTTTGTGTAAGCATCTGTTGTGAGCATTAATCAGAATTAGGTTCTGCAAAGTTGTCCTCACATGTCTTCACTAGTTTGATAACAATCAAAACCTGAGACCAAAATAAGAAAGAAACAATTTGGCTACTTGAGATTTAGAAGGTTTTAGATAACAACCGTCATTATGAATGTTCATCGTTCTCCCGAGGAGTCTGATGCTAAATGTGAAAGGTCTTTGTTTTTCTCTGTAATTAGGAACATTCAGATTCACGGTGCAGACGGTGAGTCACTAAATGCTACAATGATGACATCATACTAAATGCAGTAGATCTGTGTGTTATAGATCACACTAAAGCAGCCAGAAGCAACTCTTAGACCACCTTCATCCAAATGAAAACACAATAAATCACTGCAAATCAACATCTTACATTTGGTGAATGAAAACGCCATTCATACAGTTTTAAATCTGGTCCCCCATTGTCAACATTTTAGACTAAAGCAGGCTTTTAAGTATTGCTTTCCTGTTTGGTGGGGGCAGTGGTCGGTTGGCAAAACCACACTAAGCGCAACAATCCAAAATACTTTTAATTCAGAATTTTTTAAGCAAAAACGGGTGTTTAGACGCAATATAACCTTTTAGTTAAATGTAATATTATTACATGTAATATTAAATTATCAGAGTAAACATTAAAGGAGACATAATATGACTGTTTTTAAAACACCGGGACTTGATGTCAGTAGTCTGCTATTAGGTTTGCTTGCAGTGATGTTTATAATCCAGCAGGTGTCAGCAGACCAACATGGCGACACAGTGTTGAGACAGTATTGATACAGTTTGGGTAATGTGCCGAAAAGCCTCACGAGGCCTCATCTACACATCTAGAGTTTAGCCATTTCATTCTTGACATTTTCAGTACCTTCCAGAATGAGTCATTTCAGGGCTCTGTCACTTTAAGGAAAACAGTCGGGTCAAGCTACGCCCACCTATCCCTTGCACAAGCTGCTATAATCTGAGAAGCTCAGATATCTGGAAGGGTGTTTGGAGCATCAACATATACTCTGGACATATAATGTCCAGAGGCTGAAATCATAAGGTTTTGTTTCCAAATGGGAGGTTCCCACCACTGCCGTTTTGACCGTGTCACATGTCTCGTCACGCCCAGACAATCTAAAAATGGAAAAAGAAGTGGAGCTGAGGGTGGGGCTGGTACGTTTGGAACAGAGTTGGAACAAATGAACCAGTGTAGCTACTAGCTAACTTAGCTAACCCAAGAAGCCAAGAAGGGCTCTGGGGACTGGGGTAGCCCACCTGCATGTTCGACTGGCTCCTGTGCAAGGCGGTAGAAATACTGGTTGCCTGTGGAGATCTAATATGGACCGGGACTGTTAAATTAAGCAGAGCCTCAGACCATGGCCTTTTACGTCAGCTCATGCTCCACGCTTGGAGATCAGCGGGACGTTGGCTACATGCTAACCCGAAGCTAATGGAGTTTTCCCTTGCATTTTTAGCAAGAAAAACACAGTGGAGCAACCCCAAAGTGAATGGCAGGCATCTCTCTCCCTCTCTCTAAAGCGCTAAGCATGATTGGAAATTAAGTATGAGACAACTGACAGATGCTCATTAGTTTATCATAGTCAAGTATTAATATGTAATTAACTGATCAATACTATTTAAATTGTCTGTACATACTAGTAATCTGTACAATATTGTATTGTTTATTGTTTATTTATTTGGCAGACGCTTTAATCCAAAGCTACATACAATTTTTAACTTGTAGGGCATGTTGTGATCTGTAGGAGAAACCGGAGTACCCGGAGGAAACCCACGCATGCAGGAGGAGAACATGTAGCTGCATGCAGAAAGGCCACAGCTGGGTTTCGAACCTGCAACCTTCTTGCTGCGAGGCAGCAGTGCTAACAACTGCGCCACCATGCAATGTTGTAATATTAGCACACGAGTTTAAGCTACACCTGCTGCTTCTCCACACATCCCTCTGGTTTGTCTCCGCTCTCTATGGTTTTGGTCCATCATAAGTATAATTATAAACATTTAAAGGTTCTTCTGTCAGAACTGGCATTCACTGGATTAAGCTAACAGGACTCCCTCAGCTGACGTCACTTGGTTTGGCCCCCAAAAAAAAAATTCCCACAAAAATGACTCTAAAAGCCTGAATAATTATTAAAAAAAAATTTAAAACGAGTTTCTACTACGTTTATCTAAACACTGGGTCATGGGGGTCTCTAACTTTCACTTAGCTCTTTAATGTAAGTTCCACTAAACTGCCACACTAATGATTAGACGTGTCTACAGCACCATTAGACACTCATCTCTACAGGTTATCAGCAAAAAAACAAACAAAAGTTAATTCAGGTGTTACTCGCTCTTTAAACCTAACATGGTTTTTTGAACCAGGCTGTGAACATGCTTATTTATGCTGTGAAATTGGCATTTTTAACATGGGTGTCAATGAGGATTTGCTCACTTCTAGTGCCAGCCCCTAGAGGATGAGGGTGGAACAGCAATTTTTGCCACTTCTGTGCTGGCTTCGTTTTCACCCCAGAATCATGGGGACCTGGTTTGGACCACTTCTCCTAATAATGCTCATTTGTCACATCACAAATAGGACATTTTAAAAATGTCTTCTTCTAGGCAGGCAAAAAAAAAAAAAAAAAAAAAAAACTAGGTCTGCTATTTAACTGACAATTTTTTTTGAGAATAAATGTTGTTTGCATTGATTTTTGTCATCAGAGACAATGATTTCATTATTTTCATAATTAGAGAATGACCTTCATTTCTGGTTCTATTAGTAATAGTTAACTTGGACTAGTTCTATGCCTTTCTGTGTGTTTTTATAAAGGTAGCTGAAGGCTGAACTTTCTGCTGGATCTAATGAGGAATTAAAGGGGCCCAGAGGTTTGATCAAGTTTCTTCCTTTCACTTGGAAAAAGTAGAAAAATGCAGAGAATGCACACAGCTATTTTAAAAAAGTTCCACTCCTACATCAGTGTTGATTTAGCATCATGTTAATAAAGATTAGCTACATTTGAGTGTTTATATTTTTTGTTTAAGTGGTCAAAAAAGATGTAGACAAATAAAAAACTTCAGATTTTGCATTTGCTAATAATTTCCTTGGATTTTGAGTGTCTGATGTTACCATTTTCGGATAAATAATGTAGCCGCCTTTTTACTTGGTTATTTATGTTATTGCACTTTAACATCAGTGAGACTTTAACTAATAATTTAACCCGGTCAAACCACACCCCATCATCTGGCCTTCATGGTCTACATTCCTCCTACTTCCTAAATTGGCCATATAAGTTAATAAAAACAGAAGTTATTTTTAAAATTAACATTTACTCAGCCAGAGAAATGGTAGCTAAAATCTCTTGAGGGTCTGTGGGTGCAATGTGAGACAAGAAAAAGCATTTAAAACACAATCAGTCATAAATCAAACATCATCTGAGCTCAATGGACTTCAGAGACTGTCTCCTTCATGGTTAGCTAACCTAAACGTACACCTCTCTAAAGTCCAAGTCTAGTTAATTAAAGCCAATGGCATTTTAATCACATAGGAAAACATAAATGAAAGGGTATTTAATAAACAAGGTTTATAAGAGAACCTCTTTGGAGCTGGAAAGATTTGAACCCAGCTGCTTGGAGTTGTTTGTGAATTTAAAGCTACTTTATGCTGCAGCAATGCAGCGTTTAATAGAGCGTTACAGTATACCAGTTAATATCACTCAAATCATTTGCTGATTTATTTTTAGAGGCACTAACTTTAAAAAACACAGAAGTTGCCAGTAACTGAAAGTACAGGCAGACAATGATGTAATTTATTACTACAAATATAAACTGTTAGGCCTTTTCCTTCACACTTTAGCATGGGTCCTGCAGACTTCAACATAATTGAGAATTTTGTTTTACATTTCTTATCAAGGGAATCAAAAAAAATCTGTATATTTTAATAATGTCAAGGGTAGTTTTTGTGTTCACAGCCCAGTGATTAGCTGCTGGAGGTGGGCTTTGTTGCACCTAGAAACCAAAACCTGCTCCTTGATATGAGACGCCACAAGCAGTCAGCAGGAACATGAATTTAATGAGTTTTAGTGTAATGTCCGGTGGTAAAAACATACACCAAATAGGAGGAAAAAAATTTAATTCCTTCTTAAATAACAAACTAAATATGTTAGAAACAAACTTTGAAAAGTGTTTTCTTTGCATGTAAAAATGCAGAGTGACAGAAAACCATCATGCAAAGAATGTTTCACTGTGCAGAAGGAGGCCACTCATGAAAAGGGGGGCAAATTGCAACAAGTAACACTCTAAGGCACAGGCGTGCACACACACACACACACACACACACACACACACACACACACACACACACACACACACACACAAACACACACACACACACACACACACACACACACACGGAAAAGTGGCCGGGCGTCAGGCCAGATGCTCCAAGAGAACGAAACTCACATTCTTGTGCTGGGGAGTCATCAAGTATCAGGTTCCATAGACTCTGGTGGGAGCTGAAGCCCCTCACCTCACACACACACACACACACACACACACACACACACACACACACACACACACACACACACACACACACACACACACGCACATACGTACGCACACACGCACACACACGCACGCACGCACACACGCACACACACACACGCATGCACGCACACAACAACCTTTCCAGAGTTGCATTTGATCCTGAATGTTGCAGGCAGATTTTAGGTCTCAAACAAAAAAAAATGTTAGAAAAGATTTAATGAGACAAATGGACACATAGGAATGTGTTAGACGTGTGGGGCTCACAGAGGAGGGGCTGCGCGGTGAGGCTGCACGGCGACGCAGCTGGTGGCGCGGTTGCCTCACAGTGAGAAGATCACAGGTTTGAATCCCAGTTGCTGCCTTTCTGCTGGAAGTTTGCATGTTTTCCCCAAGCATGTGTGATACTCTGGTTTCAACTTGATTGGCATTGTCCCTAGGTGTGAGTGAGTCTGTGACTGGTTGTCTCTTGTCCCTGTGATGGAATAGCAACCTGTCCAGGGTGGACCCTTCCTCTTACCCACTGACTGGTAGAGAAAGGCAGCTGCTCCCTGCTACCCAACTAAGGAGAAGTGATAAAGAGAATGAGTGAGTCCTCAGAGATCACCATGAAGACAGATGATTCCAGACCAAACTGAGGTGTAATCTCTGCCTCTGTCCACTAGATGTCAGCATATGTACACTTTCCCTCCAGAGATGGAGGGTTTTTACTCTTTTTCTCCAGCATCAGTTTCAAATACATTCAGCAGCACATTTTACATAAAACTGTTAATTTCATATTTTTTGTCATTTTTGTTGTGTGAGAACGTGAATGTTTAAAACTACTTCCACTTCCTTGCTTTTGTTCTTGTGCAAAATTGTTTTAGTGAAGTAATCTAGAGATGGAGGACATGATGACCTAATAGAAGAGTGGAGAAAATATTAAACACATATTATTTCAATTTAAAATAGAAAGACAACATGTGAAACACGTTTATGTGTTTTTTAATGATCATATCTATAAAATGTAACCATGTGTTATAGAAATGTTATTTTTATTATTTCTTGATCACTGATGCAATTAACTGAATGTAATATGTATTATTCTATGCCTGAATGCATGCTCATTTATTCAGACACACCCACACATTCCTTTAAGCCACTGACGCACACACACACACACACATACACTTCTACCCCCCACCCCCACCCCCCACCCCCCACCCCCCTTGTTCCTTTCTTATCTTATGTTATAAATAAACCTTGAGATCAGGGGTTTGGGGCAGCTGACTCGTGCTCCTACACCCTCATTGCAATTTGGAGACTTGTCTGATTCTTTTGTCTATTTTTCTCTGGATGTAGACACTGGGTTGTTGATAAAATCCCCGACACCATGTTTAATCAGATCAACAATTTTAAATGTTTCATTATGATTTCATTAATTTGGTTGCAGGTGCATTACCATTACAAAGGGGGTCAGAGTATCATGATGTTTTCATATATATACATAGTCTGAGCTATTTTCTGTCCAGGTACCAGAGCTCAGTCTCTTCCAGGCACTCAGATTTGAACTGCAGCTTCCTGACATCTCCTGGCAGGAGGCACCAGCCTCCGGGGTCAATCCAGGACATGGAGAGATCATGCATCTCTGTGTTCCCCTGCTAGGGCTGCAGCCTCATCTCAAGCACAAGCAACCAGAGATGTCAATGGATCACCTGAAACAATTTCCTAAAAATGTTACTGGAAAGATCTATAGAAGTTTGTTATATTTCACCAACACATTTGTTCTCCATGCCTCTTTTAATCAGATAACAAATCTCTGCATCATTGTTTGAACCTTATATCTGTTTGTTGTTTCAGTATACGATAGGGGACCTAACAAAAACTTTCAGTTCCTACTGAGAACATTTTGTCTTGTCCTTTGATTCGTTCTGTTGCTGGCTGTTTAAATAAACCTTCCTAATCCAGCACACACTGTTCCTTATACTGAACTCTAATAAAACTCAGTAGTCACAAGCTCAATCTTGTGTTTTTGAGTATCATTTCCATTTTTACTTGTTGATATGCAGTCTGTTAAAGTGGGGGTTCACTGAAATTTTTTTATAATTATTCTTTCTGATTATAATAAGTAACTATGAGTTTTTCATGCAGGCTGAACATGAAAATAGTCTCCTACACCTATCTCGTGCATTAGCTTCTCATAGAAAGTAGACGGTGAAAATCTAGGATTTGAAAAGCCCGACAGATCTATGTCACATTGTCACTTAACATTCATGGACTCACCCATCTTGGCTTGCAACGGGGAAAGCTGTTGTTGGTTATGGTCCAGGAAGCATCAGAGAACGTCTTGGCTGGTAGAAGCTAACTGTTAGCATTAGCAACTCCACCATATGGCAAAACTCCTCCAGGCTTGTGCTATTTGTGGAGATGAAACATCCATGTTGCAAAGCAAACACAGTCAGTGGTAGAAACGAGTAGCTCTTACTATCCAAACAGAGGTGAGATGTTCAAATATCAGGAAACAAGACTCCAAAACCTGCCGTGCTAAGCTCTCCACTGGTGTGGCATTCTGCTTGTTCTTAAAACAGGGGAATCTGAGCCCCCCCCCCCCCCCCCCCCCCCCACCACCACCACCACCCCCATCCCAAACCGAGTACGACTTACAAGGTATTCATTCACAGAGACTAGTACAAATGTATTGATTAAACGAGTGTTCCACCCCTTTAAAAACTGTCACTCCAATAAAATGTCTGTGTATTTAAATGTTGCTGCATTTCTTGTTTCAGATGACTTCATTTACAGTGAAACGTTTCCTCCAAAAAGCATTCTAAAGTCTGCAGATTTATCTGGAGCTATGAAGAACTTCTAAGCACAAACAGCTGATTTTGGAATGGTGTGTATTACAGAACACTTTTATTCAGTTTTTACTGTGTAAAATCAGAAATGTAATCAAATGATACAGAAAATCCATAAAAGATACAGAAGTGAAATTAGTCACTCTTTGAGGATATTAAACATCAACACTTAAACTGCAACAGACGTGTCTTCTTTTAACATTATTATTAAGAATTTCATTATTGATTTTACTTAGAATGTTTAGTGAAGATGCATCATGGAAGAACCAGAACCAGGACTCAAAGACTTATCAGGACTGGGTTAACCTCTGACATTTTAAGCTAATTATTGAAACTTTCCGACACAAAGTTCGTCATTTCTGACATTAGATTCAGAACTGCGTGGAAAAATACTGACTCTGTCAGGGCTCAGCCTACTGCAGTTAAGTGGTCTACTTATCCTTATCTCTAAAATGTCTTCCCAAGGCACCACACTACGGATCAGGGAATATAAACATCCAAATGAAAAAAAAATCACATAATATTAATTCTGCTCACACTTTATCATGATCAGGTTCCTGAACAATGTTATTTTAGGCTAGAATAAATCGCTGACTTAACCTGAACTTGTTCACCAACGATGAAGGAAGATAAGTGACAGAATTAAAATCATTTTTAAAATGTTTTTAACAACCAGATTGTATCTGTAAAGATCCAAATATGATAAAAATTGCTTCGACCGAGTGCCAAGGATGCCTGGGATGAATGATGACCACAGGAGGTGCGTGTGAGGGAGAGGTGGAGTTTTCCTTTGTTATAAAAGCTTTGTTTCAAACTGCTTGTAATACAGCTCAAAGGCTGCCCATATGTGCCTGCTTGGAACATATGACTGGACCACACTGCACAAAGGTAAGGCCATTTGGAAATGCTTGCTGCAATCTGCAGAGTCCTGCAGAAGCTGATGTAGGATGAGAATTGTGCTTTCGTGCACATTATGAGAAGAAAACATTTTTTTATTATTTTCTTTAACATGCATCTTTAATTCAAATAACCATTTAACATTTTATGTGCAGTCCAGCGTGTAAATTATGCTAAAATAAAAATTGCTTTTATCTTCTCAGAATATTCCCAAGAACAGCAGCTGCACTTCCTCAGATGCTCACTCAACCAGTTGTCCTCACATCTTTACTGTAAGCCGGTCTGCTCGCTACACATCAGAGGTCAAATTTCATAATCATTTAGTTCAAAACTAACTTTCACTCTTGACAACTATTCAAGGAGCTCCAACCACTGATGTCGAACTCTGACCTTTCATCCGAGTATGGCCACTCACTCGATAAGAAAAGTGAGGGCCAAGAGGTGCCTGGAGCACCGACATGTCGGCGGAGAGTTAAGACCTCTTTTCTCAAAGGAGTGTCCTACATCTCAGGAGACATGGAGGTGTTTGGGAAATGGATGGAAAGTAAGTCACTATTAACACACAGAAATCTTGCTTTCCTGGTTTTGCAGAGACCAAATGAGTAATGAGAGAATAAATAAATAACGAATGTCAGGAATGGGAACTTAAAAGTGCACCCTCAAGGCTAACTGTTCTATGTAGTTTAATAGACCTGAAAAAATGTGCAGTGCACGAAGCCAAAGGGGACACGGGCAATCTTAAAACATCTCAAACACAAAGTCTTCTGCTAAATGTTTTTCTAAGTGTTTTGCTTTCATGGTAGGTAAAGTTGTTGTTCATTTCCCCTCCCCCCCAGAGCAGTTTTTCTTGCTGCAGCTGCTGGACTGGGTTCTGCGTGGAGCAGCTCAGGCGATGTTTGTCAACAACCCTCTGAGCGGACTCATCATTTTTGGAGGTCTCATTCTGCAGAACTACTGGTGGGCTCTGAATGGTTTTATTGGGACGCTCTTTGCAAATATTTCTGCTCTCATCCTACAACAAAACAGGTAAAAATACAAACTACATAATTCCTTTGCATAAACATAACTGCATATTTCTTCACCAAAAACAAATAAATATAAACAAAAATGGTCTTTTCCTAAGTTTTATGATACGTTTTTTTCAGAGGGGCAATAGCTGCAGGGCTGTATGGTTACAACGGGATTCTGGTGGGTATGCTGATGGCCGTGTTCTCCACAGCAGGCGACTGGTACTGGTGGCTGCTGCTGCCTAACATCTTCATGTCCATGATGTGGTGAGATGTCACACTTAGCATTGCTTAACTATAAAATAGAATGAAGAAAGTAGAATGTTGTTTTTTGGATGTTTGTTCTGATTTAATGACTCCTGATGGTGATATTCTGTCTTGTGTTTTAGCCCAGTTGTGTCCAGTGCTCTTGCATCTATCAACAGCCGCTGGGACCTGCCAGTGTTCACTCTGCCCTTCAACATCCTGGTGTGTGTCCACATGGTCGCCACCGGACACTACAACCACTACTTCCCCCAGGTCCTCATCCAACCTCCCTCAGAGCTCCCTAACATCTCCTGGGCTGACATTGATGTAGCAAAGGTCAGTGACACGACATGTGACCTCTCTGAACGCCGGTGAAATGTAGCTGCTGTGCATTTATGATGTTGTACCAGAATGTTCTTGTATTTTCAAGACTTGCACAAAATTAGAAAGACATTGATCCCATTGTAGAGTTAACCATCTCGAGGTAGCAGCGGCGGCACCAGGGGGGGCGCTATAGCTATCCCTGGATTAGTCATTGCACCCCCATAGCACCCCCAAGTAAATATTAGATTTTTTCAACAATTTAATTTTAATTTAACGTGTGGATGTGATCATATTTAACATACAACAAAAATAATCTGGATAATCCTGGATGAAGAGAGTCAACCCTCAACCGCCACAGCAGAGGGTTTTGCCACTGGAAATGCTAACACTAACGTTAGCTAACCTTGCAACACTATAGATGGTTTTCTGTGTGGCTGTATGTGTTTATGATTTCATGGAATAGTCAGCGATTGTTCATGTTTATGATGTATATTAATGATTGTTTCAGGTGTTGTTGAGGTGTTGTGCACACATGTGTATCTGCTAGTGTTGAAGGTGTTTTAGAGAACAATAGGTACGCATGACCACTTCCTTTATAGCACCCTCAATAAAAAAGACTAGCTCCTTCATAGCGCCTGCAGAAAAAAATTTCTGGAGCCGCCACTGGGAGGTAGGCGTCGCAGATTTGCAGCAGTTAAAACCTGCCTACCTGGTTACTCCACATACGTAATTCATGAGCCTTTTTTTAACTTTGAAATACCCCTGAAGGACTTAGTTATTCGTCCTTTTACCAGAACTTATTTTGAGCCTGAGAGGGTTAAATGTTTCACCCACTCATGCAGGCAAACATTTTCAAATATTTTGTCAAACCGTTTAAATGTTATGCAGCGCACATACCTGCACAGATAAAAATCTATAATTTTGTCCTTTTTTCTTTTTAAGCTGTTTAGGTCCGTGCCTGTGGGAATAGGCCAGGTTTACGGCTGTGACAATCCCTGGACAGGAGGGATGTTCATCATCTCCCTCTTCATCTCCTCTCCCATCACATGCATTCATGCTGTTGTGGGATCTGCAGTGGGTATGGTGTCAGGTGAGTAAATGAGACGAAATCTAGATGAAAATAATTTAAACTGTTGGATGAAGATAATCCAGACTCGAACAAAATTCAGTTCTGATCCTGCTGTTCGTGTGGGTTGTGTTTTCTAGGTTTGGCTTTAGCAGCTCCGTTTGAAAACATTTACAACGGTATTTGGGGATACAACAGCGCGTTGGCCTGCGTAGCTGTTGGAGGAATGTTCTACGCACTCACCTGGCAGGTGCATCTGCTCGCCATCACTTGTGGTGAGTAGACTACTGGAGATATCTGAAAAAGCATCTAATCTGGCCAAGATGACACTATGGAATTTCTAAACTGACGTCACATTTGCAATCTTGTACCATGCAGCTTTCTTCTCTGCATACCTTGGCTCAGCCATTGCCAACATCATGTCCAGGGTAAATCTTTAAAACTTTAATCCAAACAAGGTGTATTAACCTTAAATATTTAACTAATTGCTGTTCATTTGTGTCCATCAACAGTTTGGTCTACCAGCATGCACTTGGCCTTTCTGCCTCTCTACCCTCATCTTCCTCCTCCTAACCACGGGTACCAAAAGGATTTTCAAGCTGCCACTGGCTGAAGTCACCTACCCTGAGAAAAACTTGGCTTTCTACTGGAAGCTGAAGAAGCAGGAGAAAGCAGAAAAGGACAAAAAGAAGCAGAAAGACAGAGAGGAGCAGCAGAAAGCCATCCAGGAGGAAATTCAACGAAATGAGAAAGAGCTACTGAGAATAGAGCTTCAAAGAATGGAACAGGATAAAAATAAAGACAGTCAAGTGGAGGTCAAAGTGCCTGAGGAGGAGTCACAGGTGTGTGAAGATGGAGGAAATGGGAGAAATGGTTTGACTGAGGTCATTCTTGCTAAATAATTTCAATTGTGTATTCCTAAAGACATTATAATTTTATTTTTCATTCATCTAAAGAGTTCTAACTGTTTGAGTGTCAAGTAATAAAAACAAACCTGCAAAAACTTCAGTCTGAAAGATGATTTCTGTAAAGAATCTTACATAAATGCATCAGTGTTTTGCATTTTTTTAGAAGAGAGATCTCTGAAAATAAGCTGCATGGTCTCTGGCTGCATCACGTGTCAAATTATCAATCAAGAGTGTGTTTCTTTAAACAAACTATCAGTAAATATGAATCTGAAACAGTTAAGAAACTGCTGTGATGGTTTGAGTTTAGGCACTTATCACAGAAAGGGAAATCACAACGTGCTTCAAAAAAATTTCAGATCAATATGAAAACATGATTAAAAGCTAAAAACAACTGAAAAAAAGATATAAGACCATAAAACAAATGAGTACAAATCATTAAAAACTAAAGGTAGAAAACAACAACAAACAAAAGATCATTAAAATCAGAAAAGGTTCAAGTAAAAGCAATTTTAAAACAAAAGGGTCTTCAGATGGTCAATATTACGTAAAAATAAAGGAAGTGCTTTCCAATGTGGTGCAATAGCCTGGAAAGAGCATTACCTTGAATTTTATATCTGGTCTTTGGAACTTCTAGATGGTTCTGGTTTGTGGACCTGAGGGCTCGGGTTTGAGCAGCATAAAGGTAAAGTCTCATTAGTCATCTGTGATGGCAGGATCTGCCACACAGGGGAGAGATGAGTGATTTACCTTTGCAATACATTTATTTACAGTTAACTTTTAGTTGCAGATATGAATATAAAAACAAGTTTGATTTCTTAGGTGTGTTCTTGCTGTGTCGTATCTCTAATTCCATGCTGTAGTTCTTTTTTAAAACACAGAGCAGTTTTGTTTACCTGTTTTCCCGCTACGTTTCATTTCGTATGGATTTTTGCTGCCTAGCATTTAACTTGTAAAAATGTCAATAAATGCACCTGGGTCTGCACTGGAGCTGAGGAAGTTTGCAGCCGCAAACGAAACATAGCGGGAAAACAGGTAAACAAAACTGCTCTGTGTTTTAAAAAAGAACTACAGCATGGAAGGTTGATTTCTGTTTAACTTTAAGACATTTGTTGAATGTGCCCAAGCCCATACTTTTGAGAGCACAATGTGAGCACCTGTGTGTGTACACACGCTTGTTTATGTAAGGTTTCTCTATAAAAGCGTCCAATAGAGAGTGTGAGAGACCACAGATCTGCCCCCCAAATATGTGTAGGAGACGGAGGGAGCTCCAAGTCCCAGAGATCCAGGCACTGCCCCAGAACACAGGAACCCCAAGGAGACTGCAACCAGAAAGGCCCCCGCCCCCCTCGAGAGGCACAGAGGATCGCCCCGGGGGGTCACAACCAGCAGCCGGCAGAGTCCCGGGAGATATCAGCGGCAAGCCCACAGGCCCGCCCGCAGCCTCCCACCCCCTAGCCGGCCGAGCCCGGGACCCAGGGGCGACCACCCCCGCCGGGGACCCAGCAGAGCCCAGGGACCCAGATCCCACCAGGCTGCCACCGGGATTGATCAGGCAGACGCCAAAAATCTTAAACCCACTGACCCGGGAGCCACGAACACTCAGGCAGACCAAGGCACCACACTCCACACCAGGTGTGGCAGGGGGAGGGGAGACGAAGATCTATTTCATCAAAAGAAGTCCCAGGAGAAGAGAGGAGTCAAAGGCCCCACCTGACACACACAGTCGTACACAAACACAGTCATACACTCCCTCCCTCATGCTCACACATGCACATACAACCAAAGACTTACAAAAATGCACGCCGGGCACCCACTCATGCTCCCCATACACACCCTATTCACTTTGGTCCCGGTACTGCTGCGCATGGGGTACAACCATCACCGGTTACCAGAGTTTGACCCTTTCTGCTGGGGTGCTGATGAGCAGGCTCCAACGCCCAACGCTGAGCACAGCAACCCACCACCCCAGACCCCAACCAGACGGCTAGATCTCTCTCCTAGCCTCCAGGCCCAGGGAAGCCAAGCAACAACAGAGGTGTGCTAAGACCCCTAGTCTCCCTCCGCCTGCTCCAATATAGTGTTGTTGTGTGTTGATGAGCCTGCAAAAAATTCAGTCTGAAAGATGATTTCCGTAAAGAATCTTACATAAATGCATCAGTGTTTTGTATTTTTTTTTTAGAAGAGAGATCTCTGAAAATAAGCTGCATGGTCTCTGGCTGCATCACATGTCAAATTATCAATCAAGAGTTTGTTTCTTTAAACAAACTATCAGTAAATATGAATCTGAAACAGTTAAGAAACTGCTGTGATGGTTTGAGTTTTGGCACTTATCACAGAAAGGGAAATCACAACGTGCTTCAAAAAAATTTCAGATCAATATGAAAACATGATTAAAAGCCAAAAACAACTGAAAAAAGATATAAGACCATAAAACAAATGAGTACAAATCATTAAAAACTAAAGGTAGAAAACAACAACAAACAAAAGATCATTAAAATCAGAAAAAGTTCAAGTAAAAGCAATTTTAAATAAAAGGGTCTTCAGATGGTCAATATTACATAAAAATAAAGGAAGTGCTTTCCAATGTGGTGCAATAGCCTGGAAAGAGCATCACCTTGAATTTTATATCTGGTCTTTGGAACTTCTAGATGGTTCTGGTTTGTGGACCTGAGGGCTCGGGTTGGAGCAGCATAAAGGTAAAGTCTCATTAGTCATCTGTGATGGCAGGATCTGCCACACAGGGGAGAGATGAGTGATTTACCTTTGCAATACATTTATTTACAGTTAACTTTTAGTTGCAGATATGAATATTAAAACAAGTTTGATTTCTTAGGTGTGTTCTTGCTGTGTCGTATCTCTAATGCCATGCTGTAGTTCTTTTTTAAAACAAAGAGCAGTTTTGTTTACCTGTTTTCCTGCTACGTTTCGTTCCGTATGGATTTTTGCTGCCTAGCATTTAACTTGTAAAAATGTCAATAAATGCACTTGGGTCTGCACTGGAGCTGAGGACGACTGTGGAACCATTGGAGGAGATAATGCAAAGAAGGATTCTCCAGAGAATCAAGAAAATTATGGACAACCCTGAGCATTCTCTTCACAAGACTGTCCGACAACGGAAGAGTGTCTTCAGTCAGAGGCTTCTTCAGTTTCGCTGCAACACTGACCGCTACTGGAGATCCTTCCTGCCAACAGCCATTGTAATATACAACAACTCTTTGATGACTTGATTATTATTATTATTCTGAGCTACTACAGCAATCAATTTCCCTCTGGGATTAATAAAGTATTTTTGAATTGAATTGAATTGAATTGAAACGTAGCGGTAAAACAGGTAAACAAAACTGCTCTGTTTTAAAAAAGAACTACAGCATGGAAAGTTTGATTTCTGTTTAACTTCATTAAGTTGGGTCCGATATAATTTGGATGTAATGCATGTACATTTAGTTGATCTTGTTCAACCACATTTTCTATTGTTTAATGTTAATTTTGTTTGTCTTAAGTTGCCAGTAAATTTCCATTTCCCTGGGGACACAGGGAAATGGAAAGTTAGTTTCACTGAATGTTTTTAGGATTGATTAAGGACATTTCTATTTTTGTATTGTAATTTATTGAAGAAATCTTATTGATGATGAGTTCAGGATAATTTAAGAATTATACACACACACACACACACACACACACACACACACACACACACACACACACACACACACACACACACACATATATATATATATATTTTTTTTTTTTTCTGTGTCCTGTCTGGCTGTGAGGCAAACAGAATTGATGTCTGAATGCTGGTGACAAGCCTTACAGATTTACTCTTAGGTGGAGCATCAAAGCGTCTGCTTTTAATGTCACTCCTGATACTTAAAACTTTATTGTTATTGTTTTTTAATGCTTTGTAATTCCGACCAGACACAGTCAGAGTTGAAAGAGAAAGGAATTCCACAAAAATAAACAATAATGAACAAGAGTCTGCTTCTAGACCTGGATAAAGAGAAAGAATAGAAAAAATTGGGACACACAACAATGCATCAGGAGCAAGCTATCACTGCATCAGCCTGATGATGAAACATAAAATCAACATTGTTTGACTGAACAATCACACGATAATAAATCATAGTGCATTTAGTGGCACGACAGCCTTAAGACATGTGTTGAACGTGCCCAAGCCCATACTTATGAGAGCACCATGTGAGCACCTGTGTGTGTACATGCGCTTGTTTAAGGTTTCTCTATAAAAGCGTCCAATAGAGTGTGTGAGGGACCACAGATCTGCCCCCCAAAGATGTGTAGGAGACAGAGGGAGCTCCGAGATCCCAGAGATCTCTCCCCACCTTTTGCCTTTTTCTTTCACCTCTGACTCCGTGTCTGGTCGGAATTACAAAGCATTCAAAAACAATAACAATAAAGTTTTAAGTATCAGGAGTGACATTAAAAGCAGACGCTTTGATGCTCCACCTGAGAGTGAATCTGTAAGGCTTGTCACCAGCATTCAGACATCAATTCTGTTTGCTTCACAGCCAGACAGGACACGGGGGAAAAAAAATTATACATACATATATATATATATATATATATATATATATATATATATATATATATATATATATATATATATGTATGTATATATAATTCTTAAATTATCCTGAACTCATCATCAATAAGATTTCTTCAATAAATTACAATACAAAAATAGAAATATCCTTAATCAATCCTAAAAACAATCAGTGAAACTAACTTTCCATTTCCCTGTGTCCCTAGGGAAATGGAAATTTACTGGCAACTCAAGACAAACAAAATTAACATTACACAATTGAAAATGTGGTTGAACAAGATCAACTAAATGTGCATGCATTACATCCAATTTATCTGACCCAACTTAATAAAGTTAAACAGAAATCGAACATCCATGCTGTAGTTCTTTTTTAAAACACAGAGCAGTTTTGTTTACCTGTTTTCCCGCTACGTTTCGTTTGCGGCTGCAAACTTCCTCAGGTCCAGTGCAGACCCAAGTGCATTCATTGACATTTTTACAAGTTAAAAGCTAGGCAGCAAAAATCCATACGAAACGAAACGTAACGGGAACACAGGTAA